CGCGGCCAGTCATGGGGGAGCCCTCTCTTTTCCAGGTGAAGTGGATGACTGGGGTGCGAAGCCAAGTGAGAGAGGGCCTGTGTCTCCAGGGTGAGGCAGGCAAACACGCCACACCGTCAACATAGGGCACTGAAACAGTGTGGGAAAGCGGGGAGGGGACAGTGAGGAAATGAAGGAGTAATAAGTGCAGGAACTAGCCGGAGCTGGGGGAGCAAAGGAAGAAGTCGGGGTTCTCAGAACCTAGAAGTCTAGAGAGGAAACAGGGGTCAGACCTTCAAGGAGGGGCACAATGGGCTAGCCGCTGGGGCCGAACCCCAGCCCCCTGCGCCTTCTCCAGCCTTCCTCTAGTGTCCAGGGGGCCGCCTGCTGACAAGGAGGAGTGATGTTTGCAGAGTCCCAGCCCGGTCTGTACAGAAGAGTGTGTTCAAAGATGAGACGGAAGAGCTGAAGAACCGGCCCAGGACCAGAAGAGAACTTCATACAAAGTGATAGCAGGGTCCACAGAAGGTTTCTACCTGGAGGTTTCTTGAAGGCAGTGTCAGTCTGGGGTTCCCTTGCCACTATTGGGGTAGGCCTCGCGGTTACTGAGCTCCTGGCCGCTGTGAAATCACAGGAATACCCCGGCGTGTGTAGCAGGGGAGTGTGAGGTCTGCTGCCCGCGGAAGTGCTGCTGGGAGGGTTAGGGGCCCAAGGGGAGCGAGTTCCGAAAGGACTTCTGGACCAGAAAGCTCTTTGCATCCCAGGCCCTCTTCTGCTTCATGGAGCTGCCACGCCTGTGGCATCTTGAACTGAAGACCTCGGAGGCCTTGACCCTTACCTGACACAGAGGACTAGAAACCCAGGTGGCCTGGATTGCAGTAAAGACTCCACCACTTGGGAAAGTTTTCTGACCACTAATGAGGCGTCTCAGTCTCCTCATTAGTAAAATGGTGCAAACAATAGGTTTCATCAACCACCGAGAGTTGTTGTCTGTTCACCTGGGAGAGCCCTTGACAGCACCTGGCATCTAGTAAGTACTCACTGCATACAAACCGTTATTATCATTATTACTACTATCTTTTCATCACACTACAGTGAACTGATGTCGCTTCCATTAAGATACCTTGTGAACTTGCGTGTTGGAGCAGCAGCCCTGTGACCATATCTGTGAGCTTGCTTGAGCTTGCTGAAGAATGACCCAGAGCCTGCCTGAACTTAGCCAAGAAAGTGTAACTCAGGTGATTTAGCCCAGCAGCCATCGTCCTTGAATTTGGGGTCAGAAACCCCTGCTCTGACCATTTTTTAGAGACACATACCTCCATATTTCTATCATTTGCTCCCTTTAGCCCCACTATTACTCCACGCCACCCCCCCAACTCCTTCACATCATCCTTTTGAGCCAAATAACCTTTCCTGAAAACAGGAGTAGTATATGTTCAGGTCTTCATTTCTCACTGTAGTAACTTTCTGGGACTATAATTTTTTTTATAGATTTTATTCATTTTATTTTATTTTTATATTTATTTATTTTTTGGCTGTGTTGGGTCTTTGTTGTTGCGTGTGGGATTTAGTTGTGGCGAATGGGGGCTACTCTTTGTTGCGGTGTGCGGGCTTCAAATTGTGGTGGCTTCTCTTGTTTCAGAGCACAGGCTCTAGGCGCGTGGGCTTCAGTAGTTGTGGCACGCAGGCTCAGTAGTTGTGGCTCGCAGGCTCTAGAGCGCAGGCTCAGTAGTTGTGGCACACGGGCTTAGTTGTTCTGCAGCACGTGGGATCTTCCTGGACCAGGTATCAAACCCATGTCCCCTGCATTGGCAGGCGGATTCTTAACCACTGCGCCACCAGGGAAGCCCTCTGGGATTATAATATTAAATGCTGCTTTTCAATATCTAACACTGATCTAATTCAAATCCAATAAGTGGATTAAGCATATTACTTTTAAAAAGAAAACTCCTTTGTTCTTTATATTAGTAAGAAGACAGAAGCTGTGCAAAAATCTAAATGCATATGCTTGAAGCTTTGAGAGAGACTTTGTTTGGGAAGAGTTAAGTGTTTGCAGTTTATGGCAATGATATGTGAGGCTATGAAAAAGAAAGCAGCCATGAAATACATTTTTGCATAAAGATTTGAAATTTATTAGAAGATAAAAATAATTGAAAAAGCAGAGCTTTCCTCACCAGGCTATCATAAAACGTTATTTCTGTGCCATCATTGTGTGTATTTAGGAGCCTGGGTCCTTTTCAGTGGTTGTTCTCAAAGAAACAAAAAGAAAGCTAAGCTGTTAAAACTATTCAGTTGAAAAACTGATGTACATACACAGCCGTACTGACAACTGGACCATATTAAAGCAATTGGTGATAATAGTCAAATCACCAGTGTCTGAATTCTGTTACAGAAGCTTAATAGTTACATATGTTAGGCAGCTGCCTACAAAGTATGCACACCTTGCCCTGGATATAACAGAGCGGTAGACTCAGAAGTAGTATTCATTTACCTGAGTTCCGTTACAGCCTTCGCTGTGGGGTTTAATCATTCAGCACAGATTTTAGAATTCATCTGCCGTATACTGTACTGCTTAAAGCGCTTCGAGATTCTTGGCCAAAAGAGAATGTGCAAAAGCCTTTATTACTGTCTATTTGGCTAAAGTACCCTCCTACTTATAGCCGTATATACCATGCTTTATCTTACCATATACTTTCAGCCCCAAAGTGAAATTGGGGGCTGTGAAATGGTGCCAGGCAGGCTTCCCTAAAGACCAACAGAGTGTTTCACTACTAAGCAAGAAAAGATCCTTTTTTTTTTTAAATTGTGGTATAGTTGCTTTACAGCGTTGTGCAGAAAAGATCCATTTTCAACCTCTACCTTACTAGTATGCCTCAGCCTTCTCGAAGAAACTCTATTCCGAAATCTGAAAGAGAAATTAAGGAAGCTCTCCCATTTACCATTGCAACAAAAAGAATAAAATACCTAGGAATAAACCTTCCTAGGGAGACAAAAGACCTGTATGCAGAAAACTATAAGACACTGATGAAAGAAATTAAAGATGATACCAACAGATGGAGAGATATACCATGTTCTTGGATTGGAAGAATCAATATTGTGAAAATGACTATACTACCCAAAGCAATCTGCAGATTCAATGCAATCCCTATCAAATTACCAATGGCATTTTTTATGGAACTAGAACAAAAAATCTTAAAATTTGTATGGACACACAAAAGACCCCGAATAGCCAAAGAAGGCTTGAGGGAAAAACACGGAGCTAGAGGAAACAGACTCTGACTTCAGACTATACTACAAAGCTACAGTAATCAAGACAATATGGTACTGGCACAAAAACAGAAACATAGATCGATGGAACAAGATAGAAAGCCCAGAGATAAACCCACGCACCTATGGTCAACTAGTCTATGACAAAGGAGGCAAGGATATACAATGGAGAAAAGACAGTCTTTTCAATAAGTGGTGCTGGAAAAACTGAACAGCTACATGTAAAAGAATGAAATTAGAACACTCCCTAACACCATGCACAAAAATAAACTCAAAATGGGTTCGAGACCTAAATGTAAGACCAGACACTATAAAACTCTTCGAGGAAAACATAGGAAGAACACTCTTTGACATAAATCACAGCCAGATCTTTTTTGATCCACCTCCTAGAGTAATGGAAATAAAAACAAAAATAAACAAATGGGACCTAATGAAACTTAAAAGCTTTTGCACAGCAAAGGAAACCATAACCAAGACGAAAAGACAACCCTCAGAATGGGAGAAAATATTTGCACATGAATCAATGGACAAAGGATTAATCTCCAAAATATATAAACAACTCATGCAGCTCAATATCGAAAAACAAACAACCCAACCCAAAAATGGGCAGAAAACCTAAATAGACATGTTTCCAAAGAAGACATACAGATGGCCAAGAAGCACATGAAAAGCTGCTCAACATCACTGATTATTAGAGAAATGCAAATCAAACCTACAATGAGATATCACCTCACACCAGTTAGAATGGGCATCATCAGAAAATCTACAAACAACAAATGCTGGAGAGAGTGTGGAGAAAAGGGAACCCTCTTGCACTGTTGGTGGGAATGTAAATTGATACAGCCACTATGGAGAACAGTATGGAGGTTCCTTAAAAAACTAAAAATAGAATTGCCATATGATCCAGCAATCCCACTACTGGGCATATACCCAGAGAAAACCATAATTCAAAAAGACACATGCACCCCAGTGTTCATTGCGGCACTATTTACAATAGCCAGGTCATGGAAGCAACCTAAATGCCCATCAACAGACGAATGGATAAAGAAGATGTGGTACATATATACAATGGAATATTACTCAGCCGTAAAAAGGAACGAAATTGGGTCATTTATTGAGATGTGGTTGGATCCAAAGACTGTCGTACAGAGTGAAGTAAGTCAGAAAGAGAAAAACAAATATCATATATTAACGCATATCTGTGGAACCTAGAAAAATGGTACAGATGAACCAGTTTACAGGGCAGAAATTGAGACACGTATGTAGAGAACAAACGTATGGACACCAAGGGGGAAAGCGGCGGAGGGGGTGTGGGTGGTGGTGTGATGAATTGGGGGATTGGGATTGACATGGATACACTGATGTGTATAAAATTGATGACTAATAAGGACCTGCTATATAAATAAATAAATAAAATAAAATTTAAAAATTAAAAAAAAAAAAGAAACTCTATTCCCCACTATCTTCTCTCCTCTCCTTGTTAGACAGGCTGCTAACTTGCAGTGAGAGTTACTGGTGCCCTTGAACCGACCATCTTTTCAGTTTTAATCTGTTCTAGATAGAGCTTGGAGGTTTACACAGTGAAAGGAAGATGGAAAGATTTGGTGAGTCGTTCCAGACCTTCCCTTTTTAGTTCTGTGAATATACACAATGGAAAGGCGGCGCAATCGGAAGTCCAGTTTTAGTGGCGTATGTCTTTAGTTTGATGACAGACTGAATTTGCCTCTAGGTTTTCTGTCTTCTTTGTTCATCAGGGATTCCAATGCTGAAGATCGTGTTTGCAGGCCATGAGTACCTCTCTTTAATATCCGTCCCCTTGCTGATCTACCACCCGGTGCAGATCCTTCTGGGAAGTGTGTTGGTGCCAACGATAAAGTCTTGGATGGTGTCAAGGCAGAAGGTGAGACTCTGGAAGAATCTTATTTGGATCCAAGTCACATTGAAATATGCTATTTCTGAATCTTAGCTGTTCATATGCTTTAACTTTTGCACATATAACCTTGTTCTCAAGTACACATTCTCTTAACTAAATACGATAATAATGATTATCGTAAATATAAATAATGACTTATATCATTATAAATCATTATAAATATATAATAGTTATAATGTTATTTATAATATATATAAATATATATAATAAAATATCGTAAATGATAATAATGATTATTTAATTGCATTCAAGCATTAATCCAATTCAATTTGAACAAGAGGATTGAGGGCTAATTATATTGTTATAACAGCACGATGATACTTAAAAGGTAGTTTTTAAAAGCCCTTTTTAATTTGCTCATATTGAAGGGCATATTGCAGTGGATTAAGGTTTCAGTAAATATACTCAAAATATATGTGCCCCTCTGCTCAGGTGCCCACCATCTTTGCCCACCTGATGATTTGTATGTGTCCTGATTTCACATGCCTTTCTAAATATGATAGCACCTGGGTTTATCCAGAGTGTCTACTTTATTTTTAATTTTCCAGACACATAATAACTTCTTTGTACTATGCGTTTGGGAATTAAAAAATAAAATTTCAGTAGCAAAGGAGGCCACACAAGGACGTCAATTTCACCACACTTGGCTCAGAAGTCTTGTTACTTATTTGATATTTGTGGATTTGATTTTCTAAATTATCAGCCAAAATAAAATAAACTGAGTGACTCATACAAAATTTAGATGCAGCACATACCACGGAAGTGCCCATAGAGCTGGCTTCTTCCTTGTTCCCAGTGGCTCAGACTTTGCAAGACTTCTTTCGCCTGCTCACAAGGTGTCAAGGAGATAGCCAGTGACAGAGCACTGTGTGTCGTGTCCTTTAGTGCCCTGAAAACGGAATAGCCCCACTACAGCCTGTTAAGCTCTGTGTTATGCTAAGCATGTGCCAGCCTTCACCAGGTTCGGAGTGTGGGCCCTTGAGCCATCCTGCCAGCTCTGCCACCTTACCCCCGTGTGACCCTGGCCGTGTTACTTCACATCTCTGTACCTCAGTCTCTGCCACACTAAGACTCAAGATAACATCTACTCTTTAGAGTTGTGGAGGATTACATGGCAGGTATTTGACAAAAGCTATCTGATATAATCTCTGTTATCATCACTGATGTTCCTTATTTTCTACAACACTGTTTGTAGCAGGCTCTGCTATCCCCATTGAACACATAGGAGCTAGGCCCAGAGACTTGAGCAACTTGCCCAGGGTTATGGGGGTGGGTTTACTCAGTGCTAGACTTATTACTTGAACCCTGGTCTATGTGTCCCCCAAAATCTTTCCGCTACACCACAACGATGCTCCAAACAGAAATACAAGATTGCTTTTGTTTAATTTTTGGTACTGAAGTACATTTAATTTACAATGTTGTGTTAGTTTCAAGTGTACAGCAAAGTGATTGTTATATATGTAAGAATATATATAAGAATAAAAATATATAGGAATATATATATATATTCTTTTTCAGATTCTTTTCCATTATAGGTTATTACAAGATACTGAGTAGAGTTCCCTGTGCTGTACAGTAGGTCCTTGTTGTTTATCCATTTTATATATAGGAGTGTGTATATGTTAATCCCAGACTCTCCTAATTTATCTCTCCCCCCGCCATCCCCAAGATTGCTTTTAGATGGAGAGCCCTAGGTCCCCAGAATCCTGCCTGAGAAGGTAGCCCTCCAGCACCTTCCCTCGTCTTGTAATTGAACAAAATGTTAGCAAACACCATTCTGTGCTTGGGGACCACTCCAGGCTGGGGTCTTCCCACTCAGAATTGGTACAGGAGCAGTTTAGTAATTTTCTTTCTTTTACTATTTATCCCCTTTGAAAACTTCATTTGTATATATGCTCGTGTTTAACAATGTGTGTATGCATGATAGACCAGAATTTATACATATAAATTTTGACAAAGAATGAAGAAAATTATTTGAAAATCCTAATACTCCATCAATAATATACAGTCATAATGAACAGCAAATTAATCAGAATGAAGTTTTCTTCTACATGTTTAAAAGCTCTGGGATTTATCCTGCAGAGTAACAGAAGCATTTCCAAAAGAGAGATTACACTGGACGCTGTTCATTTTTCCCTTTGCACAGAAACCACTCCAAACCAGGGGGCCACTGGCTAATGTAGAATAATCCAGAAGGCTTGGAATATTTAGCCACTCCCACCTGGCCACAAAAACAGAGTGTCCATCGTAATGGTATCCTTGAGTGTCTCCTCTGCTTTACAGACAATACTGACTGAGACCCACAGGCACCATCTAATGCACAGCAGACGGGATGAATAGCCATGCCGGGCATGGGGGAGATGCCAGATTCTGCAGGCCAGTGATCCAGGGGTTTGGATCATGGGTTATATAATGCTATCTAGGCGGGCCTCTTTTTCCTTCTCGTAGCATAAATTATCTGGTGTTAATTGATGCTCTCACGTTGTTCGTGGATACCGTCCAACTCTGATGTCATGTTTTCCTTTCTCATAGGGAGTGAAGTTGACAAGGCCAACGGTATAAGGAAGGAGGTGGTCTTTCTGCAGCGATGTATATACATACAGGGTTGTACATACAAGCAGTTCTGAAGACATGTATTTGTGAACGTTGCTTCAATGCATATTTTATTTTTTTACACACAAAAAAATATGACATAGCTGTTTAAGTGCCTTAAAATGGATTTGATGAGAGTGTTATTTCCAAAACCTACTTTGTTGGTTACTGCCAGGGGTGGTTCAGTATTTTGGAGTTGTTCTTTTTTTTTTTTTTTTTCCCCTAACACAGGAAACAGTCATCATAAGTGACAAAAAGCAAACACGTTTTCATCGTACCACCTTCTGTGCAATACAGCTCTCTACTAGCTACTGTACTGATTGGAATGAGGTCACACCATCAGGAAAATGCTCTTCTCATGACAGTGAACATTTCCAAAGTCTTATTCACGGATACTTTGATTTCCCTTGTGATTCTTTTTTTCTGCAACTGTGACATGCCTCTTCCTTATCAACTCAGCAGGGGTCATAGATTGAATAGATGCTGAAAAGCATAAGTCATCTGCATTTCTTGACATCAGTTTTTAAGACATTCCTTCAAATAGTTTCCACTCAGAAATTCCTCAGTTCCATTACAAGAGATTGTGGTGTTCTATGTCTTAAATTTATTATAAGCTGCTTCAAAGAAAGGGCCTGATGTTTGAGTTATGAGTCAAAGTACGTGCAGTTTTCAGATAAACTGCAGGATTTGGGTTTCAGGATTCTTAAAATTATATTTCAAATGTTTTTCGTTTTTCTTCCATTATTTCTTTCTTACCCGTTTTCCAGCACACTTGCAAACTTATAACAACCAAATATGAGACCCAAAAACGTTACAATTAGTTCGAGAGCAGCAACAATTAATGATGGATTATTTCACATTCCACAACGGAGACCAAAATTTGTTTCCTGTTACACAGATGTGCTGAACACAAGTTTCCTCTTTTAGCCAGAAGCAGCCTGTTACATCTTTGAATTAAGCACACTTAAGGCATTTGAGACAAGTTATTAATGAGAATTTCCTTGGCAGATTTGACAAATGTTTGCAACATTTTTTTTTAAATTTAATCACATTGCTTTTACAAATAAATGAAAATATAAAGGTCATAGAGGCAAACAAATGTTACATGTACACATTCTGTCTAGCTAGATGGAAAGAAAAATAGACACAGAAGATGCAAAACCATTCATCAACCAAAATATTAAGTAAAATTAGCTCCCAGTTGGGCATCAGCTTGCCATGGAGTATCCAATATTTGCTTCTACTATGTCTGGAAGAGCTTTCACGACCCAAATAGAGGAAAAAGCAATGTATAGAAATAAGGGAACACTTTTTCTGTTTCCTGCACACCATTCTGTCACATCCTCTCTACGTGTCTTTTCGTGATTTGACAGATGATATTGACATCATGAGTCACACCATATCTTCAGCAGCTGTTTTCTTGTTTTATCAACAACAAAAAATCATTCCTTAGAAACTCACCATGTTTATCAGTATGGTAAATTTACATTATTGTTACTACCAGCGCTCATCTTGTGTTACTTCTGACTCATTTCAATGTCACCGAACCTCATAAATTTCATAAGAGTTAGCCTGGGTGTGAGTTTTAAGGCTAGTGCCAGACCCTGCAAAAAGCTACGCTAAATAGGCTGTTTGGCAAGAATTCCTATTGTCAAGAATTCCACTTGTGTCTAAAACTACAGTAATTTTGCTTGATACTTTCGATGCTTACATATGGAGCACAGAAAGGTTTTCATGTTTTGTTCCTGCAAGCTTCTTTGAATTTCAGGGTGAATGGAATTGTCTGTCTATCATAAAAGTCTTCTCCCTAGCATTAGAATACTGATTTTTTTTCCCCCAACTTATCTACCTCTATTATCTAACACCTATAGTAGGTGTGACTATGGGATAAAATTCGACTGAAAATGATATAACATTTTACCTTTTGCTTTAAAAAAAATGTGTTCTTTTTTCAAATAATCTTCTTTACATAGTGAATTTTGGTGGCTTTATTGATGTGTATACCTATTTCTTTTTTTACACAAATGCTGTGCATATTTTTCCATAAAGGACAAAAAAATAAAATCAAAATATATTTTTAATTCATGATTATTGGGGTTTAATTATTCATATCTTAAAATATGTTCTTATATCTATGCACTATCTCTTTTATGCATTTGTTTTGTCTGAATGTATTTATGAAAGAAATACGTTAGATTATATTTATGTTTGCTTGTTTTTCCACCTGGATTTTTTTTAATGGTTGTTATGAAATTTGATTTTTTAAATGGATGAGAATGTTCATCTTTTCATGTGCTCTTTTCTAAGTTTTAAAATTTTGTGGGTTCTTCTTTTTATTCTTCCCTCTTCTGGTTAAAACTAACACACCCCTGGCTAATGTTCAGTGTTTGTTTATGCTAAATACCAAATTTTTTCAAAAGGATTGGTAAAGTAATGAAATGGATTATTTATGATGAATGGAAGATGGACATAATTCTATGATTAAACAAAGATGTTTCAGAAATCACAAGAGAACCTGCGGCTTATTTTTAACCTGATTTCAGATATACACTCATAATGCCTTCCAAGTATCTGTAGATTTCTTTTAATTCATTCCAATCCTCTTATACTATTTGTGGTTAGCTGGACATAAGTTTCATAGCCTTCCCAGGTATCCATCTCAATACCCCACCACGTCATAACGTTAAAATCCAGAACCAGCCCTTGCTGGTTAGAGATTTTCTCAGCATCAGGGTTGAGGACCAAAAGAGAAACATATCCAACAGAAGGGACAGATCATAGGTGATCTGAGTTTTAGCCACCTTGTCAATTTTTTCATGGATAGAAATATGAACCCTTAGAATGCAGAATGCCTTTTCCAAACCCCGAGTTTCTTCGTGGGTACATTCCCTTTTGTAGAATTCCATACCTTCATGTTCTCATTTTGCTGTCTTGACTTAGCAAGCCTCTTCTCCCTGGAAGGCTGACAGAAATGTCACCTCATCCAGGAAGCTTTCCTGCTCCCCCAGTCAGTCCTAGACTTACTCCCTGTGACATGCCCTTAGAACAAGTCCCTCAAGTCTTCCAAAACCTTTGCTTGTCTAATCATCACTTTACATTTCTGTCTCCTCCAATGTGGTCCTCATTTGTTTTCCTCCTGTGCCTAGCACAGTGCCTGACTCAGATTAATAACCAAAAAAAAAAACCCAAAAACCATTTTCCAAACTGTGATCTTAATAGGTAAGACATGGACCTTCATAATTATGAAAGCTCTTCCCTACATATAGATCATTACTCAGTTACAAGAAAAACTGATTTTTTTTTGCTACTATTCCTAGTTAGCCTGAGGGAAACTGTGAAGCCACATTGTGCTGCTGAGAGAAATGCATGGCTTCATAACTGTGTAAATACTAGCTCTCCAAGTTGAAGCTGCAGATGTGATATGCAAATAACTTTCATCTTTTATATTTTGACAGAAAAATAAACCCTCAATAATTCAGGCTAAATCAGCTTGGGTTGATCTGAATTAGTGAATACTTTATATGCATAAAAAATAAAGCGTTTTCCTTATCGGAATTCTGACATTATAAAGACTAGATACAAATTATTACGATTATCATCATATTATTGGTTTATGTAGATACATACAAAAGGTCTTATAAGAGTACTCTCTTTAGCAAAGCAGCTAATCTTATTTACACTATAGAACAGTTTCTCAAATGTGAGTAAAATACTAACTCCATGTAAAGGGAAAACAATTTCTTATAGACCCTGGAGAACTTGTCTACAGAGCCAACGATGAGAAACTGTATTAAACATTAAACGTCACTCTAACGATCGGTTGGTGCCAATGTGCTTGTAAACACAGGTGCAGACGAGCACTGAAGTCTCAGGGCTGAGCTGAGTCTCACAGGGGGTCACCCAGAAGATGCCCACAGGCCTCTCCAGACCCCTTTCCTCCACCGAGCTCTCCAGCATCTCAGACTCCACCACCCACACATGGAATTCCATTCCAGTTCCTTGATTTCTACCAAAGTCTGGACACACTGAGTTTGGGGGGGATAGAGAAACTTAAAATGGAACGTTAGGAAAAAAATGGAATGTTAGACACATCCTGTTCCCACCAATCTCCCAGCCACCCTCCCACCTGGAATTTCTCACTGACCGCCCTTCCCCGTAACCCCATCTACCTGCCCTGTTACCAGCTCTTTCTCTCCCCAACCCCCAATTTCACAGAGGTTCAGCCACCTCTTTGTTCATTCTCTGACTTCCTGAACTTGCCCTGGGGCCAATGGCTATATAACCTAACAGAAACTTCCTCATTTCCACTTTCCTCTCATTTCGCCAGCTGGGCGTTGGAATGAGGCAACGTGAGGATTCGTGTATGTCCTGGATGAGCTGTAGCCCAAACGTCGGGGAGGAGATGGATAAGGAGCTGTGACTTCTCTCTACACCAGCAAAACAGGCAAAGTTTGTGAATGGGTAATTTATACAAAATGGATAGTAGACATATTTTTAAATATTCAGTCTTACCAGAGATCAGGGAAATATACGTTTAAATGAGATACTGTTTTTCACCTATGAGATTGGCAAAAAGTTGAGAGTTTGATAATATTCAAATATTGATAAGGGTTTGGGGAGAGGGACCTCATGCCCTTCTAGTTGGAACATAAATGGGGATGGAATTTTCTGGAGGGCTATTTAGCTGTACCATTGAAAGTTTAAATATATGTGTTCTTCAGCCCAGCTCTTTGGCTTCTGTGAATCCAGAAATAGATAAGTGCCCTAGAATCTACTGACAAGGACATTTCAGAACATTGATAAGGCTGAAAGTCCACCCAAATTCCCCAACTCAAGGAAATGGTTAAACACTCAATGGTATGTTCTTATCGTAGAACATTATTTAGGCATTAAAAGAAATGAGGGTCACTGTGTAATAACGATATATTGTTGAGTAGGAAGAAGAATAAATTTCAGGGAAGAATATGCATTTTGTCATACTATTTTTATATATCCTATTTTTTCATTAGTTAAAATATATGTTACATATGTGTAGGGACACTCCATACATAAAAAATGTTTAGAGGTATACTTATAAGTAGCATTAACGAGCTTTTTCTTTAGGCCTGGTACTACTTCACGCACTGTACATTATTTCATCTAACCCTCTCAACAACTCTATGAGGTAGGTGGTATTATCCCCATTTTACAGATGTGAAACTGAGTCCCAGACTAAGTGGCTTCCCAAGGCCACAAAATTAAGAAGTGGGCGCATTTTAACCACTCGTAGACTACTTAACAGTGGTGATTCCTAGGACCAGGAATGCAGAGGTGTTCATACTTTTAATTGTACCTTTTCTTTTCATCACACTTTGGAAGCGTTCTAACAAGCATAAAGCACAAACTGGGGCTACTTCTGCTACTACTTGAGCGAACGGCAATTCATTTCTGAACCGTGGTGCACTTGTCAAGCAAAACCTTTTTGGGTTGAGAAAGATGGGCCTCTAGGCACATCCTAGGGGGGTAAGGGCTGGACAAGGGAATCTGACTGTCCCGTGCATTGAGGTGAGAGGAATTTTGAGTCGGAGTCAACAGCATGGGAAAGGGGACTGAGAGGTCCAAAAACTGGAAGAAGTGGAACCAGAGAGGAAGTGGGCCAAAGAGAAAAGACAGTCCAGTGGGAAATGTGTGATGGCCTAAGTGATAGTGGTGGTGGTGGTTAATTATCATTATCATCAGTTTTATCTTTTGCCAGCTTTATTGAGGTATAATTGACAAATAAAATTGTAAGCTATCAGAAGTGTACAAGTGATGATCCCATATACACATACATTTTGAAAGTATTCTCACAATTAATGAACATACCCTTCACCTCACACAGTTACTTGTGTGTGTGTGAGGATGCTTAATACAGTCTCTTAGTGAATTTCAATTATATGATACAGTTATCACCTACAGTCACCACGATGTCCATCAGATCCTCAGACCTTATTCTTCTTATAACTGAAAGTTTGTACCCTTTTACCAACCTCTTCTCATTCCCACAACCCCAGCCCCTGGCAACTACTATTCTACTCTCTGCTTCTATGAGTTCTACTTTTTTCTTTTTAAGATTCCACATATAAGTTATACCATGCAGTGTTTGTCTGTCTCTTTCTGGTTTATTTCACTTAGCATAATGCCCACCAGGTTCATCTGTGTTGTCACAAATGGCTGGATTTCCTTCTTTTTAAAGGCTGAATAATATTTCGTTGTGTATATATACCACATTTTCTTCATCCATTCATCTGTCGATGGACACTTAGGGCCATTGTCAGAGTCACCACGTGTGAGACGGTGAGAGCAGCGGGTCCCAGGGTAGGAAGTTGCCGTAAACATTTAGCGGTGGGTGAGCTCTAACTACGCTGGCAAAACCAGCCTGGGAGGCCACACTGACAGCAGTGCTCTCAGTGAACACCTAGCATCAGGGTCTAGAAT